TTAAAAAAACTAATAAATTTAAAAAAATTCTAAAAATAGTTTTGAATTGGGGTTTTGATTTGATTTTGGTATATTTTTTTTTTGGGATGTTTGCAGATTAAATTTTAAAACTGGTCTGATTTTGGTTTTCATTTTGATTTTCCAACAGATTGATCCGTTTGATTTTGGTATATCTGATTTGGTTTTTATTTTGATTCTTGATGTTTCTCATATATGTTTTTCTTGATTTAGGCATATTTGAATTATTGGTATAATTTTCTTAATGATTAGAGATTAGAGGATGGAGATGATGAAATTAGGGTTTTATTGTTTATTTTTTTATTTCTATTTAATGTTTTTCAAAAATATTTTTAATAAATTTATAAAAAAATTCTGGACAAATGATATACAAAGGTATAAATGACATTTCATGTCCCAAAAAAGAATCTCAGGGTGTTAAATAAAGATTCTCTAAAACGCGAGATACTAATATGAAATTATCAAAAATACATAATATTAAACTCATATTTCAATATAACATAGTGCTAAAATGAAAATGTTCCAATATTTTATATAATATACACGCGTGTATTCGATTGATCGTACTCTGTCGAATCTACAAGCTCTAATTGGTCCGAAGATGGAGCATTCACGGTTTGTCCACATCTAATTAAGAGTCAATCTTTAATCTTTATGCTTGAAAGCTCAATCTTCTTTATTTTTTATAACCAATGAGAGTTCAGATTAACAGCTTACGCGTATATTGACTGACTTATACTGTTCAAGTTTCTTTTATTTGTTTCTTGATTTGCCATGCTTTTGTTTTTATATTGACTGACTCTATATCCTTCTTGGTCCGTATATCTTGGTCCGTTTAGTTTATTAATTTAAATTTTTAATTTAAATTAATATATAATTTTATGTGAGTATTTTTTATTATAATAAAAAAATTAAATGTGATTATTTTTAAAAATTATTTTACTGTAACAAAACTTAAATTTAAAATTCGAATCATAAAATAAACGAAAGCTATATATAAAAGCATAAATTGACCGACTTATACTGTTCAAGTTTCTTTTATTTATTTCTTGATTTGCCGTATATATGGGCGTAAATTGACTGACTTATACTGTTCAAGTTTCTTTTATTTGTTTCTTGATTTGCCGTGCTTTTGTTTTTATCTTGACTGACTCTGTACACTTTATATATATATATATATATAAAGGAAGAGGAAAATATCACTATTTTTAAGTGAAATTTAAAGTGATTTAAACCCTCAATATGTGTTGGACTATTCTTCTTAGGTAAAAGAACAATTTCGATTTTCGAGTACCAAGTGAATCAAACACTTGATTAATTTTCCATATATTATTTAATGTTTGTGGACTTTAGAAAAAATATAATAAAATATCATATAAAAGATGGAATATTGTGAACTACTTATATTTAAATTGTTTTACCAAATCACCCTAATATATAGGTCTCTTTCAAAAGGTGCAAAAAAAAAAAAAAGATATCAGTCGTCATGCCAATACCGAATAAAAGCCTGTATTTTATTTATATCAGTAACTTTATTGTTGGATCTATGTATTCTGTAATTATACTTTGCCTAAAGTAGTCTTATGCAAAAGTTATCATGTCAAACGGGTGCATGAAAAAGGTTGTTGAAACTTGAAAGTGGATAATGGCATAATCTAATGGTAAATTTAAATCTGATTGCATTTTGAAATGTTAGAGTTTAATAAATGATCTACATCCCAAATTCAAACGAAAAAAAAAGGAAAATTCAATTATATTTCAAAACCAATAAGGATAGTAATAATGTGGGAAATAGTAGAAAATATGCCAATATGAAAAGCTTAAGAAAGTGTATAGACCAACTTTTAGTTATAAAAATTGTCAAGTTATGGTTCATAACCAGATAAGTTATGGATAAACTTATCAAGTTATGGTTCACAGCCAGACAAGTTATGGATAAAAACCGTGAATTATGGACAAGTTATGGATGAAAATAATAATTTAGCTTATTTATTAACTTATGTAAACTATTGACCTATTAATTTTAATTCATCTCAAGTCTTGGCCTATTTTCCTATTTCTCCCTAATAATGTAAACATGCCAAATGCACGAGAGGCCCGTGATCAAAATCATATGTCAAATTCGACATTTTTGTTTGCGTTATATAATATTGGTAGTTAAGCTAGTATAATGCGATTGATTATCATGATGAATCATACTACACTACGTTGTGACAATCCGTACGTGTTCCAAAAATAGATGCGATTACTTATGAGAAAATATTGTATTGCTAGGTTTCGAGACAAATATGTATATAATAATGGAAATTGGACATCGTCAACTTCAAATTTGTGCGGAAGTGAAATATTTATATCGATCTTTCCAAAATTTTTGCTGTAACATAATTTTTGTGTATTAACAAAAATCTCGTGAAAAACGTGTCATTGTCATTTATCAGTGCAGGACGTACGTTATTTAAAAACCACAATGAGGAGATAGAGAAAATAATTAGATAATTAAAGTTGTCATTCACAATTGATTAAGCCGTTGTGGGTTGCTTATCTAATTGCTGACACGTTCTCTGCAGTGGGAATAAAGTTTCTGTTGTTGGTTTTGTTGGTAAGGACGTTTGCCGGTTTTTTGCTTCCGATA